CTTAGCCTTATAAAATTACATTGTATTTTTTTTTTCTTCACATTTCAACAATTGAGATTTGAGAAAGAAAAAAAGGTGTTCTCCATGATGAACCCAAAGCTTAAAAATAAAAAAAATACACTCAATTTCGCTAAGAACACAAAGGATGAGTAAGAGTTCATACTCAATAATGTTCGTTGCCGATTTATAAAACTTTGCGTTTATGATTGGAACTATTTATATTATAAATCTCTATAAAGATCGCATCTACAAAAAAATAAAGTCAAACTAAGATCGTTTAGTCATCGAATTGTATAAAAACAAATGAACATAATTAGTAAAAACATTACAAACCGTCTATGCATTTGTTGCAATATCAACTAAACAAACTTAGTTTTAATTCATTTTTTGCAGAGATGATCTTAATAAAGTGATTCATAATATGAACAGTTTCTGATCATAAAAATAAAGCTTTATGAGTCAAACATGAATAATTTTTAATAAGAAATCATACTCATCATTAAGTAGCCACACATTGTACTTTGACTAATGAACTTCAAATTTTGAATACAATCGTTGTTTAATCCCTCACGTGAAGTACCCCTAAATCCCCAAGTAGAAACCACAACCACACGATTGGTGAAGACAATTAATCCCAATAGAAAAGCCGAATCACCGCCGCCAGTTACTGCTCGCCGCGTTTTTAGTCTCACCTAATCCCCACCTCATGCAATCATTCTCGCCATCGTCCTTCCTCTCCTTTCCTCTTTACACACAGTCCCTGCGCAAGCTTAACACTCTGTACTCATCAAATCTACAACTCTCCACTTAGTGGACGCCATCAAAATCTCTCTCTCCTCCTTCCCTCTCTCTCTCTCTTTCTCTCTCTCTCTCTCTCTCTAGGGTTTCCGGTATGGACAAAACGGTGGGTTTCGGTATCCCCTGAACCCAAATCTCCCAAGTTTCCATCTTTTTGATCTGATTTTTTTTCAAAAATTTTGGAATGCCGAGGCAGCACAGCAATTTGGGGATGGATCTGATGATCCCTGGAAAAATCCGGAAGCGGGGTTGTTCGTCGTCGGCGTCGTCGTCATCGTCGATCATCCAGAACTACAGATTCAAGCGGGCGATTCTGGTTGGGAAGAGGGGCGGATCCAGTACGCCCGTGCCCACTTGGAAGCTCATGAGCTCCAGGTCACCCACTGCCTCCGCATTGCGAGCCATGGACTCACCCAACTACTCCCAGAACGGCGGCGCCAGGTCTAAGCAGCAGCAGCCCGTGTCGGCGAGGAAGCTCGCCGCTACGCTCTGGGAAATGAACGACATGCCGTCTCCGAGAGTGAAAGAGGGGTCGGACGAGAGGCGGCTGAGGAAGATGGAGGCGCGTAATCGTAAGGCCAGAGAGAGGGAGAGGATTGCGAGATCGGCGCACTCCGGTTCTCTGCCGCCCCATCTCTCCGATCCGTCTCATAGTCCCGTTTCCGAGGTGGGTTTTCTCTATGCTTCTAGTTCTGTTTGGTTGCTGAGAAAATTTGCGGGAATTTTAATGGAAAATGTAGCTTGGGTTTTAATTTGAAGTTTTAGTTTTTAAGTATCTTTTTTGAGATTTTTCGTCCCAGCATACATGTCTTATACTCATCATGCTTGCGGCAATTTGATCTTGTTGTTTGATAGCCAGTTGATTGTAACGTTTTGGTAAATTTGGAGTTTTATGTCTCATTCGAAAACTTTTTGTTAAATTTATAGTACATTCGATCCTTCTGATATTTTTGAAATTGGTCAGCATCTGTTAGGCATATCGGTTGAGAGATTGACTGCAATTTTTTTCGTGCTGTGTGTTTTCGTTTTGTAGAGGATGGATCGGTCTGGAACCGGTAGTTTCCATAGAAGGGCGTCGCCCATTTCGCAGAGGCGGCTCAGGCTCACAGACCATCATGCTGGAATGTTGGATTCTCATGGCAATGGTAGCTTAATGGAGGTGAGTCAGTGATCCACCTTATTATCAGGAAGGAGTGTGCCTCACTCTTGCTCATTTGAAGTAATCACATCTGCGGATTTTAACTTTTGTTAATTCAAATCAGATGATTGTTTATTGGAATTTCAACTGTATGATTAGTTAATGTGGACGATAGTATTTTTTTCTTCTCATTTTTTGTTATACAGGTTGAGACTAGATCACGAGCCCAGACGCCTACTGCTTCTACAGCCGGAGCCAAGACACGTTTGAAAGATGTTAGTAATGCTTTGACCACGTCTAAAGAGCTACTGAAAATTATCAACCGTGTTTGGGGTAATGAAGATCGACCTTCGTCAAGCATGGCCCTTATCTCAGCGTTACATGCTGAGCTGGAGAGGGCTCGTTTACAGGTCAATCAGCTGATCCAAGAACAACGCTCGGACCAGAATGAGATCAACTACCTTATGAAGTGTTTTGCTGAAGAAAAGGCAGCTTGGAAAAGCAAGGAGCATAAAGTTGTCGAGGCTGCCATTGAGGCTGTTGCAGGAGAACTTGAGGTAGAGAAGAGACTGAGAGGGAGGTTCGAAAGCATGAACAAGAAACTCGGGAAAGAACTGGCAGAGACAAAAGCCTCTCTTGTTAATACGGCAAAAGAACTTGAAGGTGAAAAGAGAACAAGAGAGATCATGGAACAAGTATGTGATGAATTAGCCAGGGATGTGACTGAAGATAAAGATGAAGCAGAGGAAATGAAGAGGGAATCTGCAAAAGTTTGTGATGAGGTTGAGAAGGAAAGGGAGATGATGCTGTTTGCTGACTTGTTGCGTGAGGAGAGAGCTCAAGTGAAACTCTCAGAGGCAAAACATCATCTTGAAGAGAAGAATGCAGCCGTTGATATGTTGAGGAGTCAACTTGAAGCCTTCATGGGAAGTAAGGCAACCAAAGAAAAAGGACGCAGTTCTACTCATCTGAATGACGAAGAAATTTCTGCGTATCTAAGTAGAGCTCATCTTGGTTCCCGTCAGGATGAAGAAAGAGATGAGGATGAAGGAGAAGTTGAAGACGGAGTAGAATGCGAAGAGGATTCTGCTGAAAGTGATCTTCATTCCATAGAGTTAAGTATGGGCAACAACAGCGAAAGCTACAACTTGAATCACACTTCAGCAGCCACTCGTGATCCAAGGTGGGCAGCACCTTATGTTGAAGAAATCAAAGGGAGCAAGTGTACTTCTGGGAAGCCACCGAGAAGAAGCACTTCTTTGCAAAGAAGTATATCAGATGGAGTGGAATGGGGCATGCAAACTGAAAGGCTCCAAAATTCAGGAGACGGGATAGATTGGGAGAGGTTTCCTGAACTGGAGAGGCAAAGGCAACGGCAAGGAAAAGGTTGTGCAAACGAAATGCAAGGACATAAATCATCAAGGGGTATTCGGGACCAAATGTTGTCTGGTTCTAGGCTTGGACCTGCTAGAGTTCATGCTAGTCCCACACGGCAATGGGGGCAGCCATGGCCTTCGAGGGATCCTACCGGTACATTTCAAGATAGGCCTCCCAGCGTGCAAGGCAGTGGTTCGAAGTCAAGATTGGGGGAAGTGAGAGATGAAGGCCAGAATGGCAGAAGGTATAAACGGTGAAGCCTTTTGTTTGCCACGGTCGATGCTCAAATGCAGGGTAGCGCTGTAGAAGGCCATGCTTTGAGGAAGGCGATTTGAATGATGAGAAGCAGCGTTTTGGCCCATCGATGCTTTTGGCTTGTGATCACCAGGAGCTGCTAAGTTGCAGTAATCGCTGCTCATTCTGCGCTACACCAACGCCATTTTCGCATAAGAAGCTTGTTCTGTGGATTTTCAAAGAAAGCTGTGACAATCTAGTGAGCTTGCCCTGTACAAAAGCTTCTAGTATTTATGTCTCAGTTATATAGAAACATTATATATTTGCTTCTTTTTCTTTTTTGTTTCTCTTTCCTTTATGCTAATCGTAATCCGTATTTACCTTATTTCTGGTGTTTTTTTAGACAGTAATTTTGCAACATTTTGTGTTTTGAAAGGACATTGTGCTTCTGGTTGTAGTGAACAAACAATTTTGCGCTAATCAAATGTTTACAATTATGTGTCTTTCTCATCACGTAACGCATAATTATATACAGTCGATTTGAATTTAGAAAACCGGTTACACCTAATAATCTTTCCAAATTCAGTGAACTTTTGACTGTAATTATAAACCCTAAAGAAATTTAATTGTCCAAGGTCACTTTTAGTCAGTCAAAGAATTTTGGCACATATTATTTTATGCGCTTATTTAAATTTAATGGATATGGTTAGGGGACAGCTTTTCAATTGCGTATACGGAGGCAGGAGATTCCTAATAATTTGAGGGAATTATACGGAGATGGGTGAAGGGTTCTCTGCTTGTGCAGTTGGGAAGGGTGGAAGATCATTGTGCTGGCTCGTTTGGAAATACATTTAAAAGTTAAAATGATTGAAAGTGCTTTAAGAGAATGTTTTTAGGTTCCAAAAACACTTCAAGTGTTTTTTGTAGAAAACATTAAGTTTTTCCATAATTCACTTGCATTTTCACTGAAGATTGGGTCAAAAAACATATTCACTAAAAGCGTTTTCAGCTATTTTAATAACAGTTCAAACGAGCCAACAATTGGGAGCAAACAAAGATTTATAACCAAATTATAGGATAAGTACAACTTTTTGCTTTACCCTGGTTGACTGGGTCGGACTGATTCCACAAACAAATCTAACGTTGGTTTGATCAATTATATAATATAGACAGGACGCCACTGTGAAGTCTAAATCTAATAATATAGTGGTATGTAAAATAATTACAACACGTAACACTGTATCATTGGTCTGCAACATCACAATGTCATCTCGGAGATGTAGGTAAGTGTCACTCCCCAATCCGCGGTTTTGTACCAAAATCAGATTGAGATTCACTTCGGATGTTGGTGGTAGCGGTAATGCAATTACCGAAGTGAATCTCAATCTGAAACCATATCCAACACCGCTACCACCAAAACTGCGGGTTGGGGCGTGATGATAGTAAGTCCTTCCCCTAGTTGGCTGGCTTGATCTGCACAAAAAAGATTACATAGCTACAGCATTCTGCAATTTTCTACTTTTGCTAATCGGAAATCCGCAAAATACTTATACATGTATTTAATACAATCGTCATCAGAAACCAGCAAATATGAGCTTTTGTGTTAGCCCTCTTCAACGCACCAAACCAATTAAACTCAACTACTTGTGTTCCAATTCCATGATAATTACAAATGGGAAAAATAAAATCCATTAATCGAAAAATAAAAGGCACTGAAAACCCTATCAATCTGATTCTTTACGAACAGAAAGACAGAAGCAGCTGCAGCCGTTTGATCTCAATCATCATCGAGGAGCTTTCTGAGTCGGTCTTTGACGAAGTCCCTTCGAGCCTTGACCCGGTCTTGTTGTGGGCCCACGTTTGCCAGCGATAGGTGAGCTCCAATGGCGAAGAGCGCCACCCCCGTTACGAAACAGAACGCCGTCACGGCCAGCTGCTTCCGCGTCGGTGGGTAGGACCACACCACCATTCTCTCTCCCTCTCTCTCTCTCTCTCTCTCGGTTTTGCGTTTGCAGTTTTCGGCGCCGTTATAATTATATGGCTAAATTTCAGTGTTGATCCCTGTGGGTTATTCCAAATTTCACTTTTATCCATGTTAATTTTCATTGTGTCAATTTTGACCCGTTATTTTTGTCAGAGTGATAATTTTGACCTTGTTGTTTACTCTAACTCTAGTTCCAATTCAACGAGAAGTCTTTGCAATTTACTGTTCATTTTCTTGGCATATCAATCATATGCAACTTACGTTGTCGTCAGGGGCATTTCAATTCCTATAAATAGTTGCATAACCATGATTTAAAACCAATGAAGGGATGATAAAGAATTTCTGGGACTGTTCATAAGTTCAATTTCACATATATAGCTCAAGCACTATTACAACTCTGTTCACTATCTGTGCCTGACTGAACAACGATGGAGTTCAAATTTCTTTTTTCACTAACTCATTCTGACAGGTTCGACCCTAGGACTCTTTGTAGAGTTGTGTCTTTTAAAAGACTTGAGTTTCTATACATTCTTAGGAAAAATAATGAAAATTACTTGAAAACTTTGAGTTTTAACCACAAGGACAAAATAAAGGGTAAAGTGAATAGTACTAGGATTGACTTTTTAGTGTAAAAATGTAGTTTTTCTTTAAAGTGAACAGTATCGGGAACTTTTTGTTAAAGTTTCTGTACATTCTTTTGGGGTCATGAGTGATAATTTGTAACCCCCCACTTGACTTCGCTAATATATCATTTCTACTCCTAATACGCCGCCTCAGCCTCCTATTTTCCTCCTAATACGCCATTTTTACTAGGTCATATCATTGAGTTGTCAAGCAAATGAACAGAAAGTTAGACATGCCCTTGAATTGAAACGTTTGGTAAACTATAGGGTCAAAATTAGCATAATTAAAACCAAATGGACTAAACTAAATTTGGTGTAAACTACAGGGATCAAAGATTTCAAAAGTAAAATTTGGCCAATAACAAGAGTTGTCGTTAGAGGATAAGCGACCGTCGTTTTTCTCAACCCTGTCTCTGTTCGGAAGAAGAGGGAGGAGGGCGTTCCGGATGGGTATACGTACCCGTCTCTCGTTAGCACGTTCCGGGAGGCCGGGAAATACATGGTCGGCGGTGAGGCGTGGGGCTGATGGGATGTGTTTGTTGCAACAAGTTTGAATGATTTGTATGGAAAATGTAGGGAGGATGTGCGCGCGCGTAAGGTGTTTGATGAAATGTCTGAGTTGTTTTCAACAAATATGTGAAGGCATTTTGTTTGCTGAAAGTCTAACTCATCGCCTCGAGTAAGAGAATGGCGACATAAATGTGGCTCATTGGAGATCTTATAACGCCATGGAGTTAGCACTTCGGGATTGAAATGCGCGCTTATGACCGTGATCTTTTTCTGGTACTGTCGTCTGGATGCTGTTAGGAAGTGAACCATATCGTGTATATGATTCCCTCTTCACCAAATTCGGGTGCCAGTTATTCCAGCATAGACTCAAATTAGACTTCTGAGTGCTTGGAGAAATTTCAAGAGCAAAGGTTGGATGTTTTTAGAAGTGAAGATAGTACAATGTTTATACTCAGTCATTAGCAACATGGCTTTCTAAGTATGCTTTGCTTAGTTGATTAGGGTAATCGCCAAGCGATATGAGTGCTGAAAGGTGCAGCATTTATTTTCTAAAACATTTTTACATTCGTGTTCCTTGTTTCTAGAATTGCAGAGTGAACCATGTTCCTACTGAGTGTTGACAACATGGCGATCAAAGTATGAGATTGCAGACGCTGCATGAAGTGCTGCTCCTATTGGAAGAGCCTCCTCATCGATAAAAAAGTAGGGAGAGTGCAAGTGTTGGCCCGATTTCAGAGTCTCGTTCTTTATCCCAACCACAAAGATTGCAGCAGCAGTCTTCTCTGCGAAGAAGCTGAAATCCTCTGCACCCATAGTCAGTGGCATAAGATGAACATTAGGTTTCCCAACAAGGACCTCACCGACATTCTTCACATGTTCGTACAGTGCATCGTCATTCTTCATCGCCGGATGAGGCAGTGGTCTGTCCTCCATGAAGTCGACCACAGCAGTACATCGATACACGGCTGCTTGCTGCTCTATGATCTGTAAGTGCAATATATTTAGTCAAGTCTACTTACATTGAATAGACATTTATGATATTTGATAAGATGGCGATATGTACACCTCTTTGATCCTTTCTTGGAGATATGAGAGACCCTCAGAAGTCAAGCTTCGATAAGTTCCCCCGACTTTCACACTGTCAGGGATCACATTTCCTGCTTGACCTCCCTGTATGTACCCAACTGTTACCACCTACATGATACAAAGATGAATGGATCAAAATTGTTGTTCTAAATTGCTAGTATAATTTTGAAATGTACAACTTCATTTACGAAACTTTTGATTGATTTTCACAGAAGAAAAAGGAAGGGATTAAGATTACTCTGGATTCAAGTGGATCTGTCTCTCGAGACACAATCTGTTGGAGTGCAAGGGTTATAGAGGCTGCTGCAGGAATTGGGTCCCTGGCCTCATGAGGGGATGATCCATGCCCTCCTTTTCCTTGTATTGTAGCCTCAAAGAGCCCTACGCCAGCAAGTACTGCCCCAGGCCTCGAAGCTATGGCACCAGTTGGTACTGATGGAAAAACATGTATGCTCAAGATGGCATCAATGTCATTCAAAACATCGTCTTTTAACATATGGTAAGCTCCAGCGTAACCCTCCTCTCCCGGCTGGAAAACTAGTTTCACGGTTCCCTTCGATAACATGTTGAAATATTAAAACCTGCAAAGTAGTAGATTGGTAGCTTTTGCTGTTAAACACAATGTATTCATCTACCTTCAACAAATCTCTTTTGTTTTGAAGCAACTTGGCTGCTCCAAGTAGCATTGCGACGTGAGAATCATGACCACAAGCATGCATCTTTCCATCAACTTTGCTCTTGTATTCCCAATCTACCAATTCCTTCAAAACATTAAAATTCGTTTCAAGGAATCAGATTTCAATTAAGCAGCTAGTCAAAAGCACTTCCAACTACATTTGACGAAACTACTTAAAGGTGATTTTGGATCATAGAAGCATTTTCTACATAAACAACTGCCACTAGGGGCAGATTGATGCATGGACCAGGGTGGTTCGAGGACCACCCACAAGTCCAAAGAAGCACCTATAAGGACTTTCGAGGGGAGGAGGATTCTCTACCCTCCTATTCCCATCCCCTTCCATCCCCTCATCTCACATATTGCTTTTTGTCTTATTATCTCTATAAAAAAATCAATATAAGATATTGACGCGGCTTAACCGTGACCGTTCAAATAGGAGGGCATGGAAGGGTAGAGAGATTAGGAGGGTAGATAATCCTCCTCCCTACCGAGGACCACCCAACGGCCTGGGCATGTGGTGGAGGAGAGAAGATCATCATGGTTGTGAAAATGCTGTGCAGTGCAACAGAAGCTTTTAATCAATAAGAAATATCTAATTTCAAACAAAGATGAGCATAGAGAAGACCAACATGACTCTACTATTCTTGGTTCCAACGAAGAAGAAACTCTCCCTTTGTTTCCCACGTGAACAACTCCTCATTTTCCTTTTTCTTATTTTTTCATTATTATCCAACCAGGTTGCATCACCAGCAATTTAATTAATAAAGGGATGGTGTATACAATTTTTCTTTTTTAAATTCATTATAAATTCATACAAGCTCTGGAAAATATTCTGTAAAGTACTACAAACTCGTGTAATCACAACTTTCATCTCATACCGTCAAATTCTTTAAAATACTTAAACAATAGTTCTAATATTTTTCTATGTTATATTTTAAATAAGTATAATTTTTTAGTGCAAATAGACACTTATCTATATAATTTATAATAAATTTACTTAAATCCGCTTAGACTTCTACCTAGACCTCGTCTATGCGCATAGGCGTTAGGCCTCAACCCGATGTCTGCCTAGCGCAAGCATACCTTGATTAGGACAACCCGATGTTAGAATTCTAGATCGGCCACTAACTGGCAGGTGCTTTCTTCATGAAGCACTCCAAGTGCTTTTTAGGTACCTCTTGAAGTTTTAATAGAATTTCAATATATTTATAATAAAAACCCTTCTAACAAAAGCAATTACACGTAAGTGGAACTTGAAAATACACTTGCTGGAAATACATGGGCCAAATTCGATGAAATTGAAAATACATGCAGAGAAGTGGAACTTTGAAGAAAAATTGGAAATAGTCTGAACTATTGAAGAAAAATTGAACGGTGTAGGTTAAAAAAGTGTTCTGGCCCAATTTCTAGAGAGAGAGAGAGAGAGAGAGAGAGAGAGAGAACCTGGAGAGGGAGGGCATCCATGTCAGCTCTAAGAGCAAAGACTGGTTTAGAGCCAGAGCCAATATAAGCCACCACCCCAGTCTTGGCAACAGGCCACTTGTACCCAACTCCCAGCGAGTCGAGCTCGGTCCTGACGAGTTCACTCGTCCTGTGCTCCTGGAATCCCAGCTCCGGGTACTGGTGGATCCTCCTCCTCAACCCTCTCATCCATTCGAAAAACTCGGGCTCCCTCGCCGACGCCAGCAGCTCTTGAGTCAGCGACTCGAGCTCCAGTCCATCTCCGGCAGCACAAGAATGCTGATCAAACAGTGCGGCAGCTGATGACAGTAACAAGAAGGAGGTGAAGAAAGTGAAAAACCCCATTGGAAAATTATCTTGAAAGATTCCAAGAGCAAGAACGTTATGTATTAACTTCAAATTATTACAAAAGACAAACAGCTTAGCATTTCAAATTTCTCATAAGTTCAAACCGGTAGCTCTCACATTGATTGACACGTGATTGAGGAAGTAGTTGGTCGCTGGATTTAGCCAATAATGGATAAGCATCTTGTTTTGTGGTGATTGGTGTGTCAATTTAAAAGTTATGGTTTAGAGCGAGTGATCGAATGTGATTGTGTTTTAGCTTTAAAAAGGCAAGGAATATTTAAGTTTGGGTGAGGGTTAAATAATGGAGCAAAAGGACGTGTAATTTTTTATTCATATGAAGTTGTGTTATTGACGGAATGTCGTAATAGTATAGTACTTGGCGTGTAAGTTTCTCATATAGTATTTTTATTTCTTTTTTATTAATTTAAAAAATAGTAATTTTCTATTATTAATTGCCCAAACAATTCATTTTACGAACTGCAGATACTACTAGATAATTACTATTTACTAAGATAATAATTGCCTTTGCCCAGGCCCAGTTGACGGGGCAATTATTGCCTTAGTGGGGTTGGCTTTTGCTCTTATTGTGTCTCTTTATATAATAGATAGGAGTTTTAGGGTACTAATGTGTCATATCCTAACTTACCAACTATACTTATTTTCTGGAGTGTATTAGTGGCTAGGATCTATCTACAGTACATGCGTGCAAATCTTAGCATTTATGTAGATAGGAATAATAGCACACGCCTACAAGAGTTAGATCTTTGCAACTCCTGCTTTGGAGTCATACAAGTATGAATGACCCAAATTAACTTACACATAGGGCCGCCCCTAAGGGTAGTCCTTGTAGGCGCCCGCCTAGGACCCTCACTTCGGAGTGGCCCTAAAATTTTTATATATCCTGTAAATAACATATGAATATAGAAAAAGTAAGAAATTTCATAATTCTATTTGTTGGTGCAATGGAAATGTTCAGCTTCCTTTCTCTTTGGGGTGTTAAGTTCGAAACATGGGGTTGCCTTTTTAGTCACTAGTTTTTTCTTGTTTTTCAAATTTACTCCCTATCCATATGTCCAAATCCATATAAAGTTAGAAAACTCAAGTCTATTTGCAATCGTTTTTTCCTTCAACTTTTGAATCTCTCAATTTCTATCGAATGTTTCAATCAACGATTACATGGTCTTGAAGATTGTATTTTAAGGTAATCAAAACTTTGAACTTATATTTTTCTTTTCAATAATTTATTATTCAATGGATTATTTTAATATTCAATTCGTTGGTATGATGTTGATTTTAGGAAAAAAAAACACAAGAAAAACAATTGGCGTTGTTGAATTTACTGGACTCATCAATCAAATTTTATTGTTTTTTACTCTCTTGATCAAGTTTTATTGTTCAACACTCTCAATCTTAGACTCTTTGATTGTAGTCATTTAGTACATTTGCGTTAAAAAATGTGAGACGTGTATAATGTTTGTAAATCTATCTTCTTTTGATATTAATTTTTAATGATATTTGATGTAGAAATATAATTTTTAATGTAGTTAACGAATTTATTTTTATACATATTAATGTACAAAAATTCGGAGATTAGACAACTTTAAGGCTCCACTTTGAAGGCTCGCCTAGAGTCCCCAAATTCTCATGCCGGCCCTGCCCACACACGCAAACTTATGTGAGTAGAAGCTGAAATCCTCTGCTCCATGATCACCGGTTGAAGCTCCACATTAGGTTCCCGGAGTAGGGCCTCGCCAACCTTCTTCGCGTGCTCGTACAATGCTTCGTTCTTAATCATCACTGGATAATGCAGCGGTGTTTCCTCCATGAAGTCCACCGTACCCTCAAATCGATTCACGGCTGCTTGCAGTTCTATGATCTGCAAGTGGAACCTAACTGTAAGAGAGGCTATACTCGCAATGCACTCACCTTGGTAAAATGACCTAGTAATTTACCGAGTCCTTCTACAGTATGTGATGCACCAATTTATGAACGGCTAGATTGGAATGCTTTCTAGGGTAAAAGCTGCATATTTTTAGAAGTGAAGATAGTACAAAGTTTCTACTCGGACTTTAGCGCCATGGCTTTCCAAGTATGCTCTCCTTTGTTAAATATTTTTATCTTCTGTGTTCCTTATTTCTAGAATTGAAGTGTGGACCATGTTCCTACTCAGTGCAGACATCATGGCCGTCGAAGCATGAAGTGCTGCTCCTACTGGAAGAGAGTCCTCGTTGATAAAAAAGTAGGGTGAGTGCAAGTTTTGGTCAGCCTTTAGAGTCTCATTCTTTATCCCAAGAACAAAAATTGCAGCAGCAGTCTTCTCCGCGAAGTAGGTGAAATCATCCGAACCCATAGTCAGTGGCAGAACATGAACATTAGATTTCCCAAGGAGGACGTCACCGACATTCTTCACATGTTCATACAGTGCATCGTCATTCTTCATCGCGGGATGAGGCAGTTGTCTGCCTCCATGTAGTCCACCACAGCAGTACATCGATACACAGCTGCTTGCTGCTCTATGATCTGTAAGTGGAACATATTTTGTCGAGTGTAATTAAATTGAATAGACTTTTACAATATATGAAGATTTAAGGACTCGTAAACCTCTTTTATCCTTTCTTGGAGATAGGAGAGACCCTCAGAAGTCAAGCTGCGATAAGTTCCCCCGACTTTCACACTGTCGGGAATCACATTTCCTGCCTGACCTCCTTGTATGTAGCCAACTGTTACAACCTACGTGATACGAAGATGAATGGATCAGAATTGTTGGTTCTAAATTGCTGGTATAATACTCAAATGTACAACTTCATTTACGAAGCTTTTAATTGATTTTCACCGAAGAAAAAGGAAGGGATTAAGATTACTCTGGAATCAAACGGATCCGTCTCTCGAGACACAATCTGTTGGAGTGCAAGGTTTATAGAGGCTGCTGCAGGAATTGGGTCCCTAGTCTCATGAGGGGATGACCCGTGCCCTCCTTTTCCTTGTATAGTAGCCTCAAAGAGCCCTACGCCGGCAAGTATTGCCCCGGGCCTCGAAGCTATGGCACCAGTTGGTAACGATGGTGAAACATGTATGCTCAAGATGGCATCAATATCATTCAAAACACCGTCTTTTAGCATATGGTAAGCACCGGCATAACCCTCCTCTCCCGGCTGGAAAACTAGTTTCGCGGTTCCCTTTGATAACATGTCGAAGTATTAGGACTTGCAAAGTAGTAGATCGGAAGTTTTTAAAACAAAATATGTAGCTTTTCGTCCACCTTCAACAAATCTTTTTTGTTTTGAAGCAACTTGGCTGCTCCGAGTAGCATTGCGACATGAGAATCATGACCACAAGCATGCATCTTTCCATTAACTTTGCTCTTGTAATCCCACTCTACCAATTCCTTCAAAACAATAAAATTGGTTTCAAGGAATCAGATTTCAATTATAAATTTATAATACCTAGTCAAAAGCACTTCGGACTACTTTTGGTGGAAAAAAAAAATAAAGTGATTTTGGATCAAGCGTGTTTTAGATAAAGACTTGGAAGTGACTTGGAAGTGATCTTTAGGCATCTCTTGAATTTTTAATAAAATTTCAATATGTTTAATATAATTAAGACACTTCTAGCAGAAACAGTTATGAACAGTCCGCAAATGACACGTAATGTGGAACTTGAAAATACACTAATTGTAAATACATGGGCCAAATTCAATGAAATTGATAATACAGGCACAGGAGTGGAACTTTGAGCAAACTACATAGGTTAAAACAAAGTGTTTTAACCGGTGCGTCTCGGGTTCAAGTCTTCTTTTCCCTTGATGTACAATTAGTATACACTATCGCTATAAAAAGGTCGTACCCAATGCACAAGGCTCCCGCTTTACGCAGGGTCTGGAAGAGGTGAATGTATACACTATCGCTATAATAAAAATAAAAAGTGTTTAAGCCCAATTTCTAGAGAGAGAGAGAGAGAACCTGGAGAGGGAGGGCATCCATGTCAGCTCTAAGAGCAAAGACTGGTTTAGAGCCAGAGCCAATAGAAGCCATCACCCCAGTCTTGGCAACAGGCCACTTGTACCCCAACTCCCAGCGAGTCGAGCTCGGTCCTGACGAGTTCACTCGTCCTGTGCTCCTGGAATCCCAGCTCCGGGTACTGGTGGATCCTCCTCTTCAACCCTCTCATCCATTCGAAAAACTCGGGCTCCATCGCCGAAGCCAGCAGCTCTCGAGTCAGCGACTCTAGCTCTGGTCCATCTCCGGTAGCACAAGAATGCTGATCAAACAGTGTAGCAGCAGCAGCTGATGACAGTAACAAGGAGGTGAAGAAAGTGAAAATTTCCATTGGAAAAATTTTCTTGTAAAAAAGTTATTGAATGCGCTTTTACGATTCAGAATTGTTTTTAAGGCTTAAATTAAACAACTGGTAGCTCACATTTGTTAATGTTTTTATTTAAATGCGAAGGGCAAGGAATGTGTGAATTTTGGGAAGGGTACAAAATAATGGAGCAAAAGAGGGGTAACAAACATCAATACTGACGAGTTTGTTGTGTCTTGGGATACTCTACCTCTTAAATAAGGAAATGAATTTCACATTTACGTTTTTTTTGGTATGATCTTTTTCCTTTATTTGTATTCTTTGATTCTTTTTAAATCTACACGATTCAACAACTAGAGAAAAAGAATGAGATGAGTGGGAAAATCATTTTCTGTTTAGATAAATAGGAGATGAGCACTAAGATAAGTTGAGTGTACAAGTGATGAAATTGCTTTGTGGTTTCATAATCATTGGTCAAGATCAATATGCACGCCCATTAGACAACTAATCCTAGCATTTCTCTGGACATGATTAGTGGCACATACATGTGTGAGTTGATCCTCGTCACTAGTGGCGGATCTAGGATACGAACATTTGGGGGGTCTAAGTGTTTCTAATAGAAACTGAGCGGGAAGTACGCAAAATAATTTTTTGTTCGAATACTTGGTGGGCTTGTTGTCGTAAGCGAAACTATGTATACACGACCACTCCAAGCATTTTCTTAGATAATATTTACTTTCAAAATAAAATTACAAAGGTTATGGATGGAG